CAAGATAGGTATATACATAAATCCTTATGTTTGTGATTATCATTTTTATAGTTAGCCTAGCAACTTGATGAAATATGCAAAGTTTTTAATGTCTGAATATTTTGAATAGGGATATCAACCCATTATCTATCACAGTCAACCAACAGGAACAGTCAACCAACCAACAGGAAGAGTCAACCAACCAACTGGAAGAGTCAATCAACCAACTGGAAGAGTCAATCAACTAACTTGCGCTGTCAACTACCTAACTGGTACAGTCAACCAACCAACTGGTGTAGCCAATCAATTAAATGACAGTTAACCAACCATGTGGCAAATTAAACGAAGTAAAAACAGGGACATCTAATTAAATTATACAGTCAACCAACTAACTGATATATTTAACCAACTTACTGGCACAGTCAACCAAAAAAGTGACTGAAAGAAAACCTACCAATCAGCATACTATCTAGCAAGGTCACCAAATAACTGGCACAGTCAACCAACTGGCAAAGTCAGCTAGCATTCGACAGTCAACTAACCGATTGACACAGTCAACTAAACGACTGACAGTGTCAAGTAACCGAATGACACAGTCAAGTAACCGACTGACACAGTCAACTCACCGACTGACACAGTCAACTTACTATCCTACACAGTCAACCAACGATCTGGCACCGTTAACCAACTGGCACATTCAATAAACTAACTAGCACAGTCAAACAGCTAGCTGACAAAGGATATGTGAAACATAAAATTTCTTTATACTGCCATGTCGACTGATGAAGATAAAAGCAAACATTATCTACAATTATAAATTACGCGCAGTTTGTTCTTTATCTGCAGTACATCAATTTTATGATGAAAACGTATCGAATAATTACATTTGCAAAAAAAGAGGTTTTAATTGAACTATCAGTGCTTTTCAACTCAACTCTCTTTGTCTACCTCTTTATAAAAGCGTGAGATAATTGACAGAAAAAGATAAATCGATGAATCCAACATTTCCGTTCAATCGAGTTTCCATATAGTCTGTTTACAATTGCAAAATCACTCAACTTTCAACATAGTACATCGTATGATGCTTCTATTAAATACCTGTCATTCTTTGGTCCCTATAACCTGTGTTTATTGTGTAATTAAACACCTCGTTTGACTTAACCTCATGGGACGAAAAATATTGAGTACGAATAATTTATTCCATTTACTAGAAATATAACTCATTACCGGGAACCATTAGAGGTAATGTCTCACGTGGAATGATATGAGGGTTATTAAATAGACATTGTAACAATATACCAGAACATATCCCGGCAACGTTGTGGTCCGATTTAGTTGTCAATATAATATATTGGTATTTTAATGAAAGATGCGGTCAGTTATTAGACGAGGTCACCCACGTGTAAACATCAAAACATCACAGAAACGCTAATAATCAGTTTACGTGCAATAATTTTCTGATGAAAGTTTGAAAATGAGATTCGTATCTCTTTTAAGAGGTACGTTAAACTTTTATAGTTTACAAGTAATCTAATATATTAAAAACCCTGACCACATAGCATATGAATGGTGCTATTGGACAGCAAGGAAAAATGATTAAAAAGAAAAGATACGCCCAACTTGGTGACGTCTTTTATAAGATCCTTGTTGTAGCCAGGCAGTAATTGGAACACTTACAAAAGTCTTTTGCACTTATATACGTCACAAAAACTTTTTAAAAAACCCTTAAAAATATAGAAATGAAGCCACAAAAACAAAATCTTCACAGTTAAAGGCCCACTATGGCTACCTAAGAAATGGTATCATTTTCCCCCATGAGAACTTTAAATCATTCGTAATTTGTTACAGTTTCGAAAACAATACCGATTTGCCATAGGTTTTTCACTTTCTTTGCTTTTTTTTGCTTTGTTATATTTTTGCAATTGGTATACATGTAATTATAGTGAGTTAAGTATTTTGAATGGAAGTCAAAATACTATGTTGTTTACAATTTGCTACCTTTATGACACATTACTGCACATTCAGTCCTACTTTCTTCAGCTGTTAAATATTAAATTTTAACATGCTCTAAATCTATTATTAAGCATATACATGTAATTAAACAAATGTTTGAAAAAATTAAAGAAAATTTTAGAGAAATATGAATTCTGAGGCATAAAGTGCCTTTGCTGTTCAATGCTATACATATTATAAATTATTTTCAATAACATGTACGAATTTGAACTCTACCCTGCTGGAACCAAAAGTGACCAATGAGCCAGGCCAGTTTGCACAACCATGCCACTGACCCAACTCTATACTGTTAGTACCTCATGTTTTTCTGTATTTTTCATGTTGAAAACACATAAACTTCGAATGGACAATTCAAAATGTCATAGCAGGGTAAATCTATTACACAAATTCATCGGTTCAAAGAAACACTACGCTCATCTTTGAGTAAAATATTTTTATATTGCAGACATATTTTGAAATCTAAAGAATTCTAACTGAATATGTCTTATTTAAATAAAATAAAAGAACATACAAACTATGTATGGGAATCTGCGTTCCTTATTAGGTGTCAAAAAAGCTGGTCCTTTCTTTAAAAAGAAAATTGCCAGTTTTTTATGACACTATATATTCATAGTGAGCCCGCTTATAGTGTGGTGGATTTAAAGCATAACATATATCTACTTTCTGTGAAGTCAAAACATGTTTATTTTATATTCATAAAATGTGTAGCAATTATCAATATGAAATTAGAGCATGGTAAAGTGTAAGATTTCTTTGACGTGACATTGATTCTATATCAACTTACAAGAAGCTGGTCCCATTAATTTGATCTGGGCATTCTTGTGTAAACTTGTCATTCCTTTATTTCATGATCTGAACTTTTTTTATTCATATCTCAGCACAGATCATAGATCAAAGTGTGCTATTTCTTTTCAAAATACTTTATTCAATATAATCAAAAATGGCTGCATTAGAAATTTAAAGGCACATTATGCCTCAGAAATCTATTTATATATTTTTTTAAAGTTCTTTAGAAATATTAAACATGTGTTAAATAATGGATTTAAGGCATGTAAAATATTTAAAAGCTGAAGAAAGTAGGGCTGAACGTGCAGTAATGTGTCATAATGGTAGCAAAATGTATACAAAGTAGTATTTTGACTTCTATACGAAATATGATCTCACTATAATTATACCAATCGCCAACAAAGAAAAGAAGCAAAGATAGTTCATCTATATGGCAAATGAGTATTTTTTTTGAAAGCTGTAACAAAAATACCAAACATTTTAAATTTTTGTGAAATAAAAATAATAGCTTTTCTTAGGCATAATGGGCCTTTAAGATTTCCAATGTACACCTTATACTTTAATAGACCATATCTGTTAACGTTTATAAAGACGTTGACCAATTTGGCCTAAGAAAGAAAATGATGATAATCGATTTTAACGATAAAATAAAATGTAATCAACAATATTTCTTTACTTTGGGTCGGCAGCGAATTGTTACTGACGTCTTGACACTCGCATTTCGATTTAATAGAAAAGAATCCTTTATTCTTAATCTCAAACCGAAAAGCCCTTAAATAATTTTCTTCCAAACCAAATACACATGCATTTATTTATACGAGTACATTGTATATGTATAAAAATATGCCTTCCACACTTTTTTTTAACAAAAATGGACTTATTTTCTCTTTTGTTTAGTTTATACAAATTTATTTTATTTCGATTGTGTTGGAAGCTATGAGCTTATTGAAACACCCTCGTGTTAGTTCCTGGAACCAACCAATACTAAGCAATGAATGTTAAGTTTCTTGCTCAAGGAAACAACAGCTTTCCCCTGACAGGGTTTGGTCCCACGCGCTCGGCAATCCTAAGATATCATATCCTTAGATAACAACAGCTTGCCCCTGACAGGGTTTGAACCCACGCGGTCGGCAATCCTAAGATATCCAAAGAATACTAGTCCAACACGTTAACCACTAGGCCACGTCGCCATTCTCTCTTATTTTCTTAATTACGGCCAGGGTTGTAACTTTGCCGATACACATGGTTATTATAGACTTTTAAGTCTTAAACTAGTTTGCATATTATTTTCAAAGATGATATTTTCTATGGTGGCCTTTTTACGCCACGTTGTGCAATTGGGACAAAAGATGACCTTTTAGTTTTATCTTCCTTTTGTCCCATCAGCAGCAAGCATTCTCTCAGATAAAACAGATATATGGCGAAAACACGGAATTGGCTATCATTTTCACTGTCTTTCCAGGAGTAATGTGCAGAAGATATTCTTCAAATGACCGGAAACTAGTTCAGGTCCAAACGTCCACACAAGAAATGCTGTCATGAACCTTAATAGATTGGAAGCCATATATCTTAAAAAAACACTCCACCACTTAACCACCACTTAAGCCTAAAATATTTAAAATGTTTATCTGTCATCAAATGAAAATGAACATGTATGGTAATGAGCAGTTATAGAAAACTAACAGAAAGTACAAACTGTAACGTCGTAGGAACCGGTACACATTCCGTATATACTACATTTAATATTGGTATACGGTAGATAGCCTGGGTTACCATAGGATTCTACCATGTTCTGTACAATGTATAAGTAAAATGACTGACACGTTGTTTAAGGTAATAAAGTCACAGTTCCACGTAATTTTTCCCAAGTCTGGTTACAATGAGTTGTACATGTATGCTTTACAGAAATGAATAGCAATTATCGTTGGAAGTGGAAACCAAGCGTGACATAGCAAAGTGATAAAGTTTTATCATAACTCGTATCCTTTGGGAATAACTGCATCTGATTAGAATAGTAACTGAATAATTCATTTGAAATGTATTGAAAATGTCAACAGTTATAACTTAACAACAGATATAATGGGTAATTCTCTTTATATAATGGAGAGAAAAAATGCGTGTAAGTTGGCAAATTGTTTCATGTGTGTAAAAAAATGGTTTAAACCATGAAAAAAATAATTTAGAAAAATTTTGAAGAATCATATGAATTTATAAATGATTACCGATCTTGAGGTGTCTTGTTGATTTCCCTGGTGTTTTTCATTGCGTGAAGATCTAACGGTCATTACTTCCGGTACAAGTGCTAGCGCCAAAGTTTCATCACCAACGTAACCGTTCGTCCGTGTTCGTTTTGTACGTTTTTTCTGTTTCCTTGGTGACGGACTTGTCTGAATCTGTGGAGGTTCAGTTAGAAATACAGGCATCTGCATTTTGAATATATTTCAAAGGTAATATTTTATCCATAAAAAAACTCCAATTCTGAATATAACAACGGAATACAAGGCAGATAAAAATGATTACTATTTATGTCACCTTTCGTGCCATCAGCGATATATACGAAGTTTATATTTAATGTAAATATGCGTCACGTGGGAATTTGTTTCCTGTACCTATTGATTCTAGAATCTATGTAACTCCTGAAGCCTAAAATAATTGTAGACTTCAATGTTAAAATCTCAGACATTTCATTACATGCTTTACACTTATATCCGCTTTTCAATCAAATTAATAAATCACCACAATTAGCATCCTTTTATTTAATTCCGAGTATCACATGTATGAAATGCCATAAACTGTAGTTGTCTATTCAGTTGAGATCGCTATCACTGTTTATATATGTCCACGGTTTCAAAATAAAAAAGTCTTGATGAGTGTTCAGCGGAGAAAAAAAATCTTTATATAAAATCAATCTTTCATAAAAAGATCAAGCTTGATCTGTTGGGATTTCAATGAAGGCTATACCGGTATTAGAATTTGTTTACACAAGGCTTCTTCCAATAAATAAATAAATCGTATAACTTTCCTATGTAGAACTGAACTTACATCCATACATTACTTCAAATGCGTAAAGTTTTATGAATACATTATTTTGCGTCTATTGCAATGTTCACAATTTCTACCTTTTTACGATGTCGGTTATATCCCAAGCGCCACCTGTTTGTTAATAAAGTAGCATCTTTTATAAAAGCGATCAATATTTCAATATTCCGAATCTATATATCATCTTTCACCATTTTAAAACTAACATCATTGTTTTGAAAATTAGAATATTCTTTAAAGTCTTCAATTATGGAGAACTTCACAGCAATAAGTTTTAAATCAAGAGAAAATTATTGGCTGAATTTCGTTATTCATTTTCCCTCCTTCTGAAAATATTATGTCAATATTTGAATATTAACGAGGTATAAAATGAATGTTGACATAAATCAACATTTATCTTCCACTTTCAAAATAATGTATAGTGTATGATATTTGAACATATATTAGCCACAAGACCATTTACATACATAAGGAAATCCTAATCTAATAGTGTAACTATTTCAACCATTTCTTTATGACGGAAAAATGTGCTTATCAACAATGTCTGACTACAACTGTCAAAATGATTGTATACATTAAATAAAAACGACTGTATCTACCAGTACATGTGTATATTTATTTAAGCAAAATGATCGATTTCTATATTTTAATTTTTCATAGGTAAACTTGATATTTTTAATTTGTAAATGTTGGACATTAATGGGTAATGATGATAACCGAGAGAAGTTTGTGACTTGTTCTCGATCATGGGAAGTCAAATGATTTGTATTGTGACAATTTGGACCTAAACTGGTGACATGCTTCATTGATCATCTTTGTTAAAGAGAAATTGCCGCAAATTCGTTCGTTTTCGTTTTATGTCTTTGAAAGACTTTCAAGTGGGTGAAAATATCTAAAAATATAAAATTTTGAGAAAATATCGGTCACAACAAGTTGTGGTATCACATTTGCATATTTCAATACGAATTGTGAGTAACTATCGCAGAAATTCTGCCAGTTGCTAGTTAAGCTGCGGCCTCACTAACTCCCGGCAGAGCCCAGGACCATCCCGGTAAGTTACCGGGATGATCCGGGACGATCCGGGGTGAAATTATTGTTGCGGTCACCCTTAACCCGGCAGCACGACGGTAGTTCCCAACTAACCACCCCAGATGATCTCCGGATCATCCAGACAGAGCCCAGGTGAAGCTACGGTTCATGCCGGTGCTTCCCCGGTCGTTCGAGGATGACGCCGGAAGAGCCCCGGTTGACCCAGGCAGGGCCCCGGTCGATCAAGGCAGAGCCCCTGCAAAGACCAGAACGATGCAGACAGAGCCCCGGTAGAACCCCGGTGGATTGCTCTACCGTAGCTCTACCGGCTATATCATACCCCGGATTATCCCCGGTTTGTGCCGGCAGAGCTACGGTGCTTCCCCGGTATAACCCCGGTCGTTCCCGGCAGAGCTAAAGATGAAGCCGGCAAAGCTATACCTTCCCGGATCATCCCGGATCACCCCGGTGATATTAAATATTTTATTCCATCCGGGGTGGAATGCCGGATGTTCCCGGATCATCCCGGACGATGCCGGCAGAGTTACGGATGTATTCCGGTTGGTCCCGGTCGTACCCCGGTCGTTCCCGGATCACCCGGACGTCTACCGGGGCTCTGCCGGGATGTAAGTGAGACTGTAGCTTTAGGGAAGTAATTCAATGCCAGAAACATTAAATCTCAGTCACCCAATATTGAACTTAAGTTAGTTACTAATGCTTTGTATACTCGTATTGTCTTTGTATCTGACATGCTTTCATTGCTTTGTTGTTTAGATCTTGAGCTTGCAGTTTTGTTATTTGCGACAGCCCATGGGCCGTGAAGAAGCCTAGAAGACGACAAGTTAATGAAATGTAGCTATCAAAAAGTTGAGTTATATTTCTTTTATGATCATTTGTGTCTGATTTATTCAGTCGAATTTTAACGCATTCTCCAATAAGAAAATATAGATATATCTTTATTTCTTATCATTAATATTTTCCACGAATTGCGGGGACCAAAGTATTTTGTTAAGATTAAATGAAAATGTCTTGTGGATGTGAATTGAAACCCGTTGGTTGATGTACTGTCTTTCGACCCTCTACAATGCGTGGCAGTAAAATAAGAATAAATTGTATCATAGTTTTGGGACCTTTCTGTTGAAAATGTGTCCGAGTTAAATCGTATACATATACATGCACCGTGCGTTAACTGGAGTGCAGGTATTAGTTACCTGCACTCCAGAGCATGCCCATTAATTGGCTCATTTTTGCTGGGGTTTACTTATCGGACGGCAGAGAAAGTGAAAGCGACAGAAATATCATATTTAAATGCTCGTTCATTGGTTACTTTTCTACGGGGTTTTATATTGTGACAACAGGGAACGTGTTTTTATGTTTGACTATGATACAAAAGAGACACTTGGCAATCTGATTAATACTCGGGGGCTAAGCCCCCTCGTACAAATCAGATAACCTCGTGTTTCGATGCTCTTTCTATTACTTAATTAATATGTAAAATACGTGACAATTATAGACTTTGTATCAATTTCACATAAATAACTGATAATACCGGATAAGTTCGTTTTGTTGTGTGTTTTTCGCTATTTTCATGCGCATGAGTAAACGGCATCGTAGATGGAATTGTTAGTGGTGGTTTAGTTAATGTTTGACAAAATTTATAACTCATTAAAGCAGCGTAAAAAAATCTGTCGGAGGATGCATGGTAATATAAAACTTATAACGTGTATGAGAAGGCATGGTTAAACAAAACTAAAGTATCTGAAATTTAACTTGATAGTAAAAGAACTTATGAATGTGATAGGTCTTTTACTACGGAAGAGTATTAGTGCCAGGTGTATGTCTTTTATTAACTCGAAATTTCGAGTTACTAACTCGAAATTTCGAGTTACTTACTCGAAATTTCGACTTACTAACTCGAAATTTCGACTTACTAACTCGAAATTTCGACTTACTAACTCGAAATTTCGACATAGTAACTAAAAATTTCGACTTAGTTACTCGAAATTTCGACTTACATTGCTCGACTTTCATTGGTTGCCGGTGAAAGCAAGGATTGAATTCAAGATACTTTCTTTTGTGTGTAGCTGTTGCACATTGACAGAGCACCCATGTATTTAAGAGAACAATTTAATAGGGTCAAATTGTCCACACATACTGAACATATCCTTCGCTTTTTGTGGAGGGGGTGGGGGTGTAAAATCACACTTTCTACATTTCCGTGTTCACCGGATGTTTCTTTTTCTAAAGCACACGTACAACCATCATGTGGAGATACAACAAGTCCAAAACCCACCCTATTGTAAACTGTGCAATATTCATGTGTTAAATAAGTTTTAAATGGCGTTAGTCTGTCACGTTTCTGTATACTAATAATGTTTTTGTAACATTATTAATTATTTACTAAGACTTCGATTCATATTGTGCTGATAAGAGTTGATAAAAGTGGAACTTGTTGTTATATACATGTTGGGAATAATATAAAAGCATCCGATTTCACAAGAAATATAGTCAGTCCAACAAATTTGACAAAGGCCTCAACACGCCCTATTTTGGCCACTCAGCGATACTTTCCTCAGATGTCCCACACGTGAAGTATAGGATCGTTTTATTCACAGGGATGAGAAGAATATGATATGTGAAAATATATGTTAGAACAGGTGGGATACAATACAACGTCTGAAAAACGCCTGAACGTACAAATTAAAGGAAGCCTTGTGATTTTTAGGTCGGGTGTGGACATGCCATTACTAAGTTTAATTCAATAGTTTTTGTCCAGTCACCCGTTTCTCAATCTTCATCGTTCAACCGCACTCCCTACTATATCTTATATTATCTAACTCATAACTTTGGCCATTCTAGTAATGTTAATAAGTCGAAATTTCGAGATAAGTAACTCGAAATTGCCGAAATTTCGAGTTACTAAGTCGAAATTTCGAGTTAGTAAATCGAAATTTCGAGATAAGTAAGTCGAAATTTCGAGTTAGTAACTCGAAATTTCGAGTTAGTAAATCGAAATGTCGAGTTAATAAAAAACATATACCTGGCACTTATGCTCTTCTGTATTTTCCAGAACTCCTTTAGATCAATTAAAAAGTAGACGCGTGTACCATGTTAATGTTGCATTCTGCATTTAAGTTTGATTAGTCATATATTTTTTATGTAATTTAAATGAATGATGAACAAAGTTTTACCATATATATATTTTATTTATGTGAACTAAAAGCCCAGTCGAGGCAGTTCGAATTTGGGAGTTCACCAGAGTAGTTATACACTTATGTAGAATTAAATATGTAAAAGTTAAGTTTTGCGTCTTTAATCCACTATTCCACTATAGAAAAATCCTTTGTTATTTTTTTTCTTC